AATAATGATGATGTGGTAAAGATGGTGGTACCTAGTAATGATGATGGTGAAGATGGTGGCAGTGATGATGATGATGGTGGTGAAGATGGTGGTACCTAATAATGATGATGTGGTAAAGATGGTGGTACCTAGTAATGATGATGGTGAAGATGGTGGCAGTGATGATGATGATGGTGGTGAAGATGGTGGTACCTAATAATGATGATGTGGTAAAGATGGTGGTACCTAGTAATGATGATGGTGAAGATGGTGGCAGTGATGATGATGATGGTGGTGAAGATGGTGGTACCTAATAATGATGATGTGGTAAAGATGGTGGTACCTAGTAATGATGATGGTGAAGATGGTGGCAGTGATGATGATGATGGTGGTGAAGATGGTGGTACCTAATAATGATGATGTGGTAAAGATGGTGGTACCTAGTAATGATGATGGTGAAGATGGTGGCAGTGATGATGATGATGGTGGTGAAGATGGTGGTACCTAATAATGATGATGTGGTAAAGATGGTGGTACCTAGTAATGATGATGGTGAAGATGGTGGCAGTGATGATGATGATGGTGGTGAAGATGGTGGTACCTAATAATGATGATGTGGTAAAGATGGTGGTACCTAGTAATGATGATGGTGAAGATGGTGGCAGTGATGATGATGATGGTGGTGAAGATGGTGGTACCTAATAATGATGATGTGGTAAAGATGGTGGTACCTAGTAATGATGATGGTGAAGATGGTGGCAGTGATGATGATGGTGGTGGTGAAGATGGTGGTACCTAATGATGATGATGTGGTAAAGATGGTGGTACCTAGTATTATAAAATAACATGTATATAATGCGTGCTCTGATTGGTTGAAACCTGTGTTTGGATCAGGCCATCCAAACACGGAAGACTATCGTGTTGTTGTTATTTTATAAAACAATTACTTTATGGTTTCCCTGTTAGGATGGCCTGATCCTAAGGTGCACCCCCCCCCCCCTCCCCGAAGTGTTTTTCCAAGATGAGTTTTTGTGAATTTTATGGAAACCCTTATGCAGTTTGCAATGAGACCATGTCCTGGTATTGTTATGCTAAATATGCAAAATATTAATTACTTCCACACTGTGATTTACATAATTTGTTTACAAAATTCAATATCTTAAAAAATTGAACCCAAAGTGGGGAGATTGGATTGCAATGAAACTTCATGGATAAATGCTGAATGAACTCAACAAAAACCTAGCTGGGGCCAGGCTTCACCAGTGAACTCTAATAAGACTATTAGAGTTCAGTCTCTGTTAGATCACGGTTAATAGAATTAGATAACCGTGTTAGATTCACTGTAGCCTGCATGGCAGGCGGTACGTAGGAAATACCGCCTGCCGCAAAACTGGATGTAAATGAACTACCGCCCCTGAAGCATCACGCTATTTATAGATGCATTAATTAAGTAAATATTCAAAATTAGCCACTCCCAAGCTGCTCCCAAGTCTCAACTGCCCAAAATGAAATAAATTCCTTGATTCTCATCACCGCCTGACTGAATTTTAAAATCCTCGTGAAAAAGTTTTATATTTCGTTATACAATATAAATGTACCGCCCGACAAAATAATTCAAGACAGTTAATTTTTTATATTTTATATAGGGTTTTTAGTGCCAATTTAAACTTCCAATTTCAAAAAAACAGAATTTTGAATGAAACTTCATTGTATTTTAAAGAAACGCAGTCATTCTGTCATTGTTCGTGGAGATACGAACTATTGATATATAAATTATATAAATATAAAATATAAAAAATAAATCTCCCACTGTCTTCGACATATTCCATTTCCGGTCTGACTTGACGTGAACTAATTTCAAAACGCAGAGTTTCAAAACGTCAAAACATTTGGTTAATGATTAACATTTAACCGAATTTAGCCGTTGATTGACAACTACATAAAAATACTAACCAATCCGTTTTTCCCGTTCACCAGCGGACGGGTAATTCAAAAACCCCTAGTTTTGCGGCAGACGGTATTTCCTTTGCTTCCCTAATTTTCGCTGCCCGTAGAAATACCGCCTGCCATGCAGGCTAGATTCACTGGGGCAAACCATTATGGGCAAACACAATGGCAAAAATACCTTCTCTCTAGTAATGGTATTGTTTATTAGCTCACTGTGCAAGATGGCGTCGCGAACTCTGAGCATAAAAGACCATAAAAGGCGTATATAAGAAAAAAAATTTGTGCAAAGAAAAATGCCTGGAAAAAAATTTGTGCAGCCATTACATCAGAGAAAAACAATTTGTGCAAGCAAACAGCAAAGTCTTGAAAAAAAATTCATGCAGAGGTTAAATACATTAAAAAAATTCCTGCAGAGACATGAAAAAATAATTTTATATCAAGTGAAATCAATCTATAACTGAACTTGGGAAAATCTACATTTAACATTGAAGATAAAACGTATCCACATGTGAATTTGCGCTATAGAAATGTAATCATAATCGTAAACCCTTAGGGGGCAGCTTTTTTATCACCACTTACTTTTGTTGTCCATTTTGGTGCTGGATTTGTTTTCACTAATATTCTTTTACTTTTTAAAACATCATTTTCTAAGCATCTAAAAGATGTAAAATCTCCAATGGGTCATTCCAGAAACGACCCACACTGTGTGAGGTTTTATATCAAATATAGCATTTCTCTACTGAATGTTATTGTCGATTTTAGATTACTTTTCAAAGCGCAGTTCCCAAGTTTGTTGTCAACTTGTCAATTACATTCCCAAATTCGGAAGTTGGGCGGGAACTTCGCAACAAATTTCGCAAGTGCATTTCAAAGTTTGAACTTCGATTGTAAACAAATGTAAAAATTTCATTTATAAACTTATTTAAAAAGGCATTTTCATCTTGGGAGAACACTGGACCAATATTTTACTGCAGTAATATGTGCATTGCTTATACAGTAATTTCAATTCCAACTATGAACATTTGTTTACAACAAAGTTCGAACTTTGAAATGAACTTGTGAACTTTGTTGTGAAGTTTGCACCCAACTTCCGAACTTGACAATGTAATTGGCAAGTTCGCACCGAACTTCAAACGTATACGTTTGAAATGTAAACAAACATGGAAAAATGTTTGCAGTTGATGGTTGCTTGTAAGTGGTAACTAGTACAGTTAAACATAGGGAAAACACATGGAAACATTTGAGGAAACATCGAGAATCACATTCAAAGGTCACTTACCAGTATAAAACAAGGTCGAATCCCCAGTATTTATAGCCGCGTCGAGAAATTTCCTGGGAGAAACGGAGTCCTCGCTCGTTATGCTTCGGAGAAAACGAAGTGCAGGCAATAGCTAGAGAGAAAAGATATTTTGGTTCAATGTAAGTGGGGTGTGCTAATCATGGACTTGAATGATGTGATTTCTTGCACTTCACTTGGTGGAATTATTATTAGAATGTTAGGGTTTGTAATCCAAGTGATTATATACATTTTAAGACCTGACCAGGAATGACTGCGAAAAATGCAGCACAAGGTCCTCTGGTAGGAATTGAACCTACGGCCCTGCGATTCCGGTGCAGCGCTCTAACCAACTGAGCTACAGAGGCCAGCTGTTGAGCTGTAACCGTAAGTTCATGTATATATAGGTAATCGGGTGTGCGGGTTGTGATAAGGTGGACTTGAAAATCACTTGGATTACAAACCCTAACATTCTGATAATAATTCCACCAAGTGAAGTGCAAGAAATCACATCATTCAAGTCCACCTTATCACAACCCGCACACCCGATTACCTATATATACATGAACTTACGGTTACAGCTCAACAGCTGACCTCTGTAGCTCAGTTGGTTAGAGCGCTGCACCGGAATCGCAGGGCCGTAGGTTCAATTCCTACCAGAGGACCTTGTGCTGCATTTTTCGCAGTCGTTCCTGGTCAGGTCTTAAAATGTATATATTCACTTGGATTACAAACCCTAACATTCTGTGCTAATCATCCTTATTTGCAGCTGAGAGCTAAGCTGAATTACGAAGGACGCAGCTCAACCTGATCTGGTCGAAGGCTTACTAAGGGCGCCTATGGCAGCCGCCTTATGACTCATGTCTGATCACGGAGCACAGCTACGATATCTCACAGCCTGTCAACAAGATTGTTCGCACTGCTTGTTCCAACAGACTCGCAACAAGTTGTTCCAACAAGTCTGATATCGTCTGCACGTAACAAGTTGATGACAATAAGCTCATAGCAACTCGTTACGTTTAGTCGTGTTGGAACAACTTGTATAGCAAGTCTGTTACCGTCATCAACTTTGTTACAAGACATGAAGGTGATAACAACTTGTTCCAGACTTGTCACAACAACTGGGAACCAGAAGTGCGAACACATCCTGATAGAGAGTTTGAGCAAGACAACGAAGTATGAAGACGAAGGCATACTTGACAATTTTTGCCGTCTGCACATTATCTTGTGCATACTGTGTTGGACGTCACTGGTGGTTGCTCAACGTGTCTTCCCATGTGTCGCTGTTTATGAATACTGACCGTAATTCTTGCCCTGATCCAGAAAAAACAGCGAGACATGAAACTATATCCCGTCTTTGTCCTTCTGCCTTCGTGCAGAACGAAGTTCACAACGAATTTTGCCAAAATATTCGTTGTGAACGAAGGCAGAAGAACGAAGACGGGATATGGATTCATGTCTCGCTGTTTTATCCTGATCAGGGTAAGGATATGAGTCAGCATTCACAAACAGCTAGACATGAATCTCTAATCTGTCTTCACCACTGACCCTAAACGTAGAATGCGCAAGATAATGTTGAAGATAAAACAGCGAGACATGAATCCATATCCCGTCTTCGTCTTCTGCCTTCGTTCACAACGAATACTTTCGCAAATTTCGTTGTGAAACTCGTTCTGCACGAAGGCAGAAGGACAAAGACGGGATATAGTTTCATGATTCATAAACAGCGACACATGGGAAGATACGTTGTGCAACCACCAGTGACGTCCAACTCGGTATGCGCAAGATAATGGACATACGGCAAAAATTGTCAAGTATGCCTTCGTCTTCGTACTTCGTTGTCTTGCTCAAACTCTCTACTATCGGCTTGACAACAACCTTGTTACAGCTTGTTTGCCTCTCTTTTAACAACTTGGGCGTTTTTACGTGTCTAGCCAAGGTCTTTAGCTACACACGTAAAAAAACACAAGTTAACGTACACGTTGTTACAAGTCTGCAAATAAGTTGTCACAAATCTGTTCACAAGCTGTCGACAAGTTGTGTTCGCACAGCTTGTTCCCAGTTGTTGTAACAAGTTTGGAACAAGCCGATAACAACTTGCAACAAGCTTGATGGAATTATCAGACTTGTAGCAAAGTTGTTCTAACAAGTGTGATACAGTCATGATATAACAAGAATGTTACAAGGTTGACGACCCAAGGTTGTAACAATATTGTTGTATGTAGACTGTATCGGACTTGTTGGAACAACCTTGCAACAAGTCTGTTAATATCAACAAGGTTGTTACAAGTTGCTAACAGCTTGCTCTAAACTTGTTGCCACCCTGGGACAAGCAGTGCGAAGACAACTTGTTGACGGCTTGTTGGCAGACTTGTTACAAGATGTGAGACTTTTGCGTGTGTAGCAAGTCTGCCAACAAGCCGTCAACAAGTTGTGTTCGTACTGCTTGTCCCAAGTTGTCAACAAGTTTGGAACAAGCTGTTAGCAACTTGTAACAACCTTGTTGATACTATCAGACTTGTTGCAAGGTTGCATATTTTTTAGTTAACTGCTGAAAATGATTCAAACAGAATTGAAATAATATACAGTTTATATAAAATTGTACATGATGGACACATTTTTCGAAATTTTATTACCCTTGCAATTTGTGCTGCGTTTTCTAGCGGATCTCTTCTGATGGATGTGAACGAGTGGATGAGTTATGAATGTTCTGAGTACATGCTCCTTCATCTGAGCATTTATAACTCATTCACTCCTTCACATCCATCAGAAGACAAAAATTGCACTAGAAATCGCAGCAAAAATCGCAAGTGTGAACGGGCCTAACAATCTGGGGCCGATTGTATAAAAAACTGATTAAAGTTAACTATAGTTAGTGGAAACGTCATCCAATAAAAAGCGCGTATTTGAGAGTTAATCACTATTTAACTACAAAATAGTGATTAAAAAAGTGATTAAGAGTTTTATACAACGGCTCCTGGTTATTTCAGCAGCGAACGAAAAAGAGTTAACTACTTTTTAACTGCAGTTAGCGCTAACTACGTTTTTATACAACCGGCCCCTGTACAATAACTTACTTGCGATGGATTCCCTTCGGACTCCAAACACGCGTAATATGCTCGGTTTAGTTTATCAAAAAATTTAGATATCATGGCCAGTGGACATTGAAAGCGAGGCATCAAAGCTATAAACAAGGTATATATAATATTTTTGTTTAATATTATGTTTGATACAGGGTGATTAGTATAGGTAATAGCATGGTTCGAGTGCAATTTGGATATAACATGCACGAGTGAGTTTTTCAAAGACCTCAAAATAGCACGAGTCCGAAGGACGAGTGCTATTTGAGGTTTTTGAAAAACTCACTCGTGCCTGTTTTATCCAAATTTCACGACAAACCATGCTATTACTTATTAATAATTTACATAAAAGTACAGTATATTTGAAAATATGGCTGTATAACAACGTCGACATGCTTACACATTTAACCATGATATATAACTAAAGCATTCTGAGTATTTTCTCGTGAGCTCACAAATCAATTAAATCGTTTCAAGAAATCGGCTTGCGCTAACAGTAGACGTTTCGCTAATCGCTATACGAAAAGTAGAAAATGTATGGTCAAGCAGTTTTTTAGGGTGGTGCTAGACACCACTAGGTTAGGTGTGGTGCGCCCCCCCCCCCCCCCTTCCACGGTAGATCCGCCCATGTTTCACCTCAGTCGTATACAAGAAGAGTGCTTCCAGTTTGACTCTATCGAAGTTCAGCCCTTCCACTACAAAAGTTTAGCCCTTCCAAAACCGAGAAGAGAATTTCTTAAACAATGTTTCAAGTATAGTGGGGCTAAACTCTCGAATAGTCTTCGGATTGATGCTAAACTAGCCGAGTCAATTTTCTCCTTTAAGAATTGATTGAAACAAAATGATCATCGTGCAGTATTATATTCACTGAGAAAAGAGTGAGAGTGAATGAGTAAAAATAAAGCAAGACCATGAAGAAGGGAAAATTATACGAAAAGAGAAATGGAGTAGATTTCTTCGATCCGAGTTAATGATAATAATGATAATGAATTACATTTATATATAGCACATTTTTCATATGGATTTGTTCAAGTGTGCTTAAAATGCAAGTTCGCGTTATCGATTTTTCTTCTTCGAATTTGTCAAAAATGGACTCCACAATAGACAATTCCCATTATAGACTAATTTTAAAACTAGGCAAGGAGATGCAAATAAATCACCACAGCTAGAAAGAGCATACTAAAATTAGTAAAATTGCAAAGTTTGGTTGCGAAATGTTGTAAAATGCAGAAAATATAGCCTTGCAAAGTTTGCAAATTTTGTATACTTTTGTATTGCGTGCGGAAATTCCTACCACATTTGGGCCCGAATGTGGTAGGAATTCCGCACGCAATACAAAATGACTGAAAATTTGCAAACTTTGCAAGGCTGTATTTTCTGCATTTTACAACATTTCGCAACCAAACTTTGCAATTTTACTAATTTTAGTATGCTCTTTCTAGCTGTGGTGATTTATTTGCATCTCCTTGCCTAGTTTTAAAATTAGTCTATAATGGGAATTGTCTATTGAAATCTTCATGCTCAAATTAGTCTAATATCGAAAATTTCACGATGTTTGGACATTCAGGGCGCGATTTACAAAACATTTTCACTGCAACGGAAAATTCCAGTCCAAAGTGCAGTAGAAACAAAATTTTCAAAACGCCATAACTCGCGGTCTGAATGTTCAAACATCATGAAACTTTCGGTATAGACTGATTTGAGCATGAAAATTTGCTGGTCACATGGTAAAATGTCAGATAGCAAGAGTACCGCGTACCTACGTGGTATATTGCGCTATAAAAAGAAGTACCAGGCCGTAATTTAAAGGCAATATTATCGCACTCTGCAATACCTGAGCAATTGATAAAGAACAACTTCGGCTCCAGACGTTCTTTCGTTTCGATTTTTGTTAACTCTTAATTGTGTTCTCAAAATGATCACGTACACTTCCCCATAACTAAACAAACATATTGCAACAAATATTTTATACGCCGTGATTATTGTTCCGACAACTTTAAGTTATATGGGCTAAAGATCCTAGGAATGTTCGGTATGAGAAATTTCCGGTATCGGTATACCGAAAAAATTATACCGATATTATCGGTATACCGGTTTTCCTTTGATAATTATAAAGGAAATTTTTTTAATGGAAGTTTGAAGAAAATTTTGAGTAATTCTAAAAGGGAAAACGATAATTGATCGAAGCTGTTTCGAACATGTTTCGAACGACATGAACGTACTCAGTGTAAAATCTCACCGAAGTGGAAATTCTAAATCATTGCAGTAGAAAGTTCTTTGAATTGCCATTCAGTAGTAAAATAAAGGTTATGGTTTCGCCATATAGTTGGTAAATTTAACACGGTATACCGAAAAATTCCGGTATATCCGAAATTTCGGTATATCGGTATGGTTGAATATCCGGTATCGATATACCGATATTGATTTAATACCGATATTTTCGGCATATTTCCTAATTTTTAGATCCTCGTTCTTTAAACATGCTAAAATGATGCCAAATAGATTTCAGTTTATTTCAAGCAATTGTTACAAATTTACAAGCTCTGTTAACAAGTTGTGTTCGCACTGCTTGTTCTTATAGTTGTTGTAACAAGTTTGGAACAAGCTGTTAACAACTTGTAACAAGTATGATGGCATTATCAGACTTGTTACAAGGTTGTTCTAACAAGTTTGATACAGTCATGATACAAGATTGTAACAATATAAGTTGATGACACAAGGTTGTAACAATACTGTTATATCATGACAGTATCAGACTTGTTGGAACAACCTTGCAACAAGTATATAATACACAGCACCCTTCCAGGAATTATATGTCACTTTGGCTATAGACCCTTGAAAAATATAAATACTATTACTGTCGTTCCAATTGAAGTGTCCCTCAAATATTGATTCAATACATTACCTCAGGCTGACCAATTCATTTCATCAAGTTCCTCGAGATATTCATACACTTCCTGTGAAAGAGCAAATTCCAAGAATTTGATAATTTCTGGTCACTTCCTTTCTATTTATGATTGGTTAGTTGCACAAACAACAAAGGTGATTGGTGCATTCAAATTATTCAACAGGAAGTTTACAATTATACTAGGAAGTGTATGAATATTTCGAGGAACTTGATCAAATGAATTGGTCAGCCCGAGGTAATGTATTGAATCAATATTTGAGGAACACTTCAATTGGAACGACAGTAAATGTTTCATAATGAATGATTTCATAATGAATAAATTTATTCAATTGAAAGCAATAAATAAATTTAAAACATCAAAATCGTATATATCTTGTTTTTTGTCGAAATTTCTGAGGTGGTTAAATTCATGTTTGAGATTTGTTCTTTTTTCTCTTAGAGTTTATTATGTAAAATTTTAGTCATTTGCCCATTGCTGGAAGAGGCTAAAACACTTGGGAATGTTGCTCGAGTTAAGA